AAATCTTAACACCATTAAAGGGGAAAACTATACTTGCTGATACATAAAATAAGAATTCGGGACAAATGTCACTTGGAGAACAATTGGGTTGAGGGTTGGGGCAGAGCCCTCATTAGAGAAATAGTGATAGGGTAGGAATATTTGGGACCTGGTTTCAGGAGGCTGTAGTTGCTTAGTAAAGTTACCAATTCTTTTATTTAGAGCTTGTGATGGAAAATAAGGTTCGTGCATATTACATGAATTATTGGATGTTTGAATGGCTGTAAAACCTGTTAAAAAAAAAAAGACCCATACTATAACTATGTGATGTGTATAAGATTGTAAGTCATTCACCACAACAGGATTTCAATGAATTTGAATATAAATAGTCATTACATTTTAATTATTCATTATTGTATGGACACTTGCTGGAGAGTACAAGATGCAACTTGGGAGTTTCACATTTTATAGAAATACACCCCCCACCCACTGGAATGGGCTGCCATGATAAAATGTGGCTGAGGTCTTGCCACAAGTACACAAAGATCTTAGAGTAAGATTAAGCTCTTGCTGTATTTCCACTAGTAAACAAGGGTGTTGTGTAGCATGATTGAGTCATACCTAGAAGAGCACCAGCTCCATGGAGGACACTTATTTCAATGCTCAGGATCTCATAGTTGCTCTACCTAGAGAGAATATGGGGTTTTAAAAAAAAAAATCTATTACCATCTTGCTGGTTTTACAAATGAGACATAGACCTTAGAAAATAGCAAAATAGCGTTGCAAAAAGGAGGCAAGGAGTCTTGATACTGCCCATATTTATGAGGGCTGGAGTTGCCATACAAGTAATCCTAATCCCCAGACTTTGGTCTGTGGGCCTTGGATTAACTGGATCCAGCTGGATGTGAAATTTCAATTTAAACCAGTTGGCATGTATGGCAAGAATACATGCCATGCCCATTGTAATACAAGTTTGTTTATTGTATTTACACACAGATGGCTCTAATTGCTTAGTCACAAAGGAGACAGTTAATAGTCCTACCTGTCTCACCTGTTTATCCTTTTCCTTGACTTTTGGAAAAGGTTATACATTGTCATTGTTTTAAATGTTACCAAGATTTTAATAGCAGTAACAACATTGTATCAATTGTATTTAAAAAATAAGATTGTATAAATTTTAAGGTTCATGTTCTCTTTATGAATTCTTCCAGGAATTCCAATTGTTAAGAGAAGGCCTGTGGTAAGGCTTGTAATTTGGAAAGATGGTTATTTCTATATGGGTAGCAATTCAGGGTAGTGTTTGGGGACCCTGAGTTTTAATAATATGGCAGTAAGTCCAAGGTGTGAGTACTAATTGGTTTTATCAATGTCAAACAAATTTGTTTTTTATTTTCCTAAACCTTTCCCTTGTTTCTATTATTTTCCAGATAATTTTTGCAGTTTGACCACTCTTTGCTTGTTAGTCTGGATTCCTCAGCCAAAATGCCTGCTCCGGCTGCAGCACGTGAAAACAGTCCTGGCCCCAGCCGCCTCAAGAGCTTCAAAAATGCCGGGAAAGATATGGATGTAAGTACAAGTTGAGCAAAGGTTGCAGCACAAAAAAATATATATATATTTATATATAGAGAATATTAATACTACTGTATAGGATGGGCAAAGGGAAGACTGGAGGGCTTGATTGTGGATCGCACCAATAAGCTCCATATTCCCTACACAACATTCATGCCCGGAAAGATGTTAGCAAACAGTTCTTGACAATTTACCCATGACCTGGTAAATATGGGGCTCATTTGGCCTCTACTCGAGGTAGTATGCACTGCTGACAGGCCTTGCCTTAGGCATTTTTTCAGGTATGGTTGGTGTCCATACCAACAAAGTAATATAACTGTTTATATCACTTGTATGCAAATCTTGATTTGTTTTTTGCATATTCAGAGATACATGATATGCATGTTAAGTAGCAAGATCAAACTTGTATTAGCCTGATTATGTACATAGTCCATTTGAATAAATAGGTATATTACTGTGTACAAGATTGAATGTGGTTTTGAGTTACAAACCCACAAGATTGTAAGCAGTGGTATACTAGGCTTATGCCATCACTGCTTCTGTAATTTCCCTTTGTCTTTTGGCACTCTGCCTTGGAGTATAACAATGGGAGTAGTTGACATGAGACTTATCTCAAACAAAAGTGAAGGTTACAGGGTAACAAGATCAGAGAAAGAGCCCCATGTTTTGGTGCTTGATATCTTTCATGCATGGTAGGCAAATGATTTCGGCTAAAATTCACTCTTTGTACAGTAACCAGTCATAGCATTACAAATGCCACTCCCCTTCCAGGAATTCCCCCGGTTTGTTTGCACGCCGATCGGCGTCACCCGGCACCAAGGGGTTAAAGAATACAAGATGTGACGATGTGAATTATATTGGAATTTACTTATACAATGGCTTCCCTTTTTGTCTTTACAGGAGATGCGCAGACGTCGCCAGGAAACCAGTGTAGAACTTCGTAAAGCCAAAAAAGACGAACAACTTTTGAAGAGACGAAATGTTGCTCTTGACGACCCAACTTCACCCCTTCAGGAACAGAATACATCTGTAGGTTTTTGCCTAGAACTTGAGTCTATTTTTGAATGCTTTGTAGATAATATTATTTGTAATAACATTTCTTGTTTTTTATTCTTCTCTCCTCTCTCTCTCTCTCTCTCCAGGGTCCTACCATGTGTTTGGAAGAGATTATTAATGGCATCACTTGCAATGACACAAACAAGCAAGTCATAGCCACACAATCTGCAAGAAAGATGCTTTCTCGAGAGCGCAACCCTCCCATAGATGCCATTATTAATGCTGGCATGGTTACACCTCTTGTCGCATTCCTTGATAGAGCAGACAAGTATGATTTATTTATTTTCTTAACATTTAAACTTCAAGCAATTTCTGATGGGTATATGTACTGTACACTATTTTTTTTAATTTTCATGTACACCTAGATGGACCCTTAAGCTCTGGTCCAATTAGGAGTTACTTGTTAGGTATGTGTGGCCTTGCCTGATTTCCCCATTCTGAGAATCAAGGTAAAAGGTAAACAGGTGCGCCATCGTTCAAAATCCAGGAACTCCTAATTGCTACCATCTTCTCTACCACATTCTCTCTAACACTTACCTCTTCCTCTACATTTCAGACATCTGTCCCCTCTTTCTGCCACTCTCCCACCACTCAATCTGCACCCACTTCTACCCTTATCACCCATTAACTCTTTACAGACTTGTTATGTATACAAGTGTCATAACATCCCTTGGTCTATGGGTTGTAGCTGTACACATGGCAACATGCCAGAGCACATGGAGCGGGAAGTTCCGTTACTCTTACTGAACTCCCGCGCCAAGTATCTGGACATTACCAGATATTGTCCTATCCCCAATTTATTGCAGCCTGTACCTCTGCTTTGCCTCACCCCCAACCCCCAGCCTGTTGAACATCTTCATTAAATCACCAGCCAGAAGTCACCAGATTTAGTAACTCCGAGAGATTTGATACCATCATTGAGGGGTTAATGTCTGCTTTATCCCATTTGCTCCTCCCATTTACCCATTTCACTGCCATATAATCTTAGTGCTGTATTGACCTTTAAGACATTTTTAACAATTTCTTCACCTTTTCTTTCCAATACATTATTTTAGTGCTGTATAATTATTTGAGAGGGTGATGAAGAAAGGGATGAAATGTGAATATAAATGAAGGGGAAGCCATTTCTTGATATAAAGTTTGATTTAAAAAATAATAAATAAATAAATAAATAAAAAATCTAGGATGTGAATTTTGTAGGTATTTTATCCAATTTATAACCTCCAATTGGATAGGGGGTTGCAAGCTTATTGGAGAAAGCATGTCAAGAATACATTAACATTTTGAAGAGAATTCCTTGTTTTTATGAAGCAACCACATTTTAAAATATCCCTCTTTCAGCCCACCACTACAGTTCGAAGCAGCATGGGCCCTCACGAATATTGCTTCTGGAACATCAGAGCAGACACAGGCAGTTGCAGGTAAAACTATTCATACCAGTTGTTATGAGCAGATTTGATTATTTCTCTAGCATAATTTTGGTGATTCTAACTTGAATCTTTTTTTTAGCTTCAGGTGCTGTCCCAGCTTTTGTAAAGCTGCTGCGGTCACCCCACAGCAATGTTGCAGAGCAAGCTGTTTGGGCATTAGGTAACATAGCTGGAGATGGCCCAGAACTCCGAGACTTTGTAATCAAAGCTGGTATTGTTAAACCTCTCCTTGAACTCATCGGCCCAGAAATTGAGGTATGTTAACTTGATCATATGTAATACTTGCTTAATTTTCCTTGATATATTTTTTGGAAGTAAATAAATTTGAATTTCATTGCAGCACACATTCCTGCGCAATGTTACCTGGACACTCAGCAACCTATGTCGAAACAAAAATCCTTCTCCACCCTTTGAAGTAGTAAAGCAGTGCCTTCCTGCCCTCAGCCAGTTAATTAGCCACCCAGACAAAGAAGTACAAGGTGAGTCAAGATTTCAATTTTTGCATTAAAGTCCTAACGGGAACAATATTGGTTTAGTTGGAGAAAAACTTTGTATTCTTAATAAGGCTGTTGATTTTAGGATGTTTTGACTGGTCCAATTTTAGTTAATCTAATCTCAGTGTGACGACGACAGGAACAGTCAGTAGTGAGCACACAAGTTTTGATCATTTGGTCCAGACTGTTGTCAATGAGGAGAAATAACCCCTCAAAAGTAGGCTGAAAGGCCCTCTTTAGCCTTGTCTAAATAGTTTTAACACTGTCAGTTCCAGAGTGGGTTATTTTTCTCTAAATTCCTTTCAATTGGATTAAGCCACATTCATTTCTTGCTTTTAACCTAATGACAATGAGCCCCCAGTCCCTTAGCGAACATGTCAGGTTGCACAGGGAATAAATTGCTTAAGGGAGAAAATGAAGAACTGAAACCTAAAATTACCCTGCTCTCTGCTATTGGCTGTGGTATAAACATATTAGCGGAAGCCATAAAGAGGCTCTAAGCCTACGTTTAACCTCTTGCAGCCAGTCATGCCTATAGTCATTATGAAAAACCAACTCATGATGGTTACAGCTAAAGGCACCATGGCAAACCAGACTGATTCAAGTGGAAAGTTCCATTATACATAGCAGACTCCCAGCCAAAAGACTGGATGGTTGCCAGAATAAGTGACACCCAGAGATTTCTGGTACTGTCATTGTAAGGTTTCTTAACAAATGCAGGCAGTGCCAAATGAGCACAACTGTAAAGCTTACACAACTTGTGTAAGCTTGCCTTGTGCACAAGTTTGGGTGGTCTAACATGACATGATAGGGACATCATTCCAGCATCAGTGAGGCTAACTGATTCACATTTGACCATGGTAAATGACTAAAAAAGTTTTTTTAATTATTGAACTGTAATTACTCACAGCTAATGTGAATAATGTAACCAAGACCTGATTTTATGTATTTAATATTTTAACTGTAGATATGTATAGATGGATTCACAAGTAATTAGGTCACCAATGAGTTAATACTACTACTACTCATCTTACCTGTTAATACTCCCCCCCCCCCCCTTTTTTTTTTTTTTCATTCTTTCTTTTTTTCATTGCAATTTGTAATTTTGGTGACGTTATTAATGCTGTCAATATAAATATTTATAGCATTAGTGTTGAAAATGTGAAATCAGGTCATCATTAACTGTTGGCACCTTGGTGGCTAAGCATTTATGGAGACATCTGTGTAAACTTTTAACAAAACAGTACTACAGCCAACACTTCTTCTTTTTTTCACTCCATGAAAGTGCTACGGGTAGTTTTCAATGATCCTATGTATATGCTATATTACTGTGATATTTTCCAAAGTTTACCTTGAACAGTCCATTCTGAAATGTATCTTTACTAAAAGCAGCCCAAACTTCTTAACTGGATAAAGTAAACCTTTTTGATAGTTTATAATGTAGCTGTTCATCCAACATTAACTTGTATGTATTGGAAGTTTGCTTTACTGAATAAACCAAACTGTTTTCATAACTTCAATTTGCAAAATTGAATCTGTTCCAATGTGCACAGGGAAGTTACATGTAAAAGTTGCAAAGGAAGACCATAATACCAAAGAAAGTCCCCATTATCAAAAAGGTTTATATGGTAATTATCAACTTTCCTGTACCTTTTTTTCAGCTGATGCTTGTTGGGCACTGTCATATTTGACTGATGGAACAAATGAAAAGATTCAAGAAGTCATCAATGCAGGAGTAGTTCCTCGACTGGTAGAATTGTTGAATTGTGATGAGCTTCCTGTTGTTACTCCTGCTCTCCGTGCCATTGGCAACATTGTCACTGGCAATGACTCTCAGGTATAGTGCAATGTATATTACTATGGTCATTTTGTTTAAGTTTAAAGTAGATATCTTAGATATGATCTACAAGATGTAGAGACTGACACTTTTGCCTGATTTCAGACTGATGTGGTTATAAAGGCAGGAACACTACCTGTATTCCCCAAGTTGCTGAGGCATCATCGTAGCAACATTGTTAAAGAAGCTGCCTGGACCATTTCGAATATAACTGCTGGCAATGTAGAGCAAATTCAGTCTGTTATTGAATTTGGGCTCATTCGACCAATTTGTGAAGTCCTAGAAAAGGTAAGAGAAAACGCTTGCTTCCAGGTTTATTGAATGATAGATTGTGACACCTTTCGAATATACAACTGACACACACAATTTTGCAGGGAGATTTCAAGGCCCAGAAAGAGGCTGCTTGGGTTGTTACCAACTATACTTCTGGTGGCTCAACGGAACAAATTGTTGAATTGGTGCGTCAGGGAGTCCTGCAACCTTTCTGCAACCTCTTGACAACCAAAGATGCTAAAACTGTTATGGTAGTCCTTGATGGCATTGGCAACATTCTTCAGGTAAGGTTTTCTTTCCCTACAACAACCTTATTTTGATTTGTTGCAAGTTTAATACATTACAATTAATTTAGTTTTTGCTACTAAAAACCTTGTTTATTTTTTCAGACGGCAGAAAAATTGAATGAGGTTGATCGCTTAGGCCAGATGATTGAAGAGTGTGGCGGTCTGGATAAGATTGAAGAACTCCAGAATCATGAAAATGAGGATGTGTACAAAAAGGCCCTTGACATTATTGAGAACTACTTCAATGAAGAAGTTGCCGATGATGTTGTGAGCAGCACATCCAATGGCCAGGCCTATGATTTCTCTTCTGGCAGTAACTTGCCAGATGGAGGCTTCTCTTTCTAAATTCTTCCAAATGCAGGAGTGGTGATAGATGAAAAATGTCAGTGCCTTCTGAAAAAAGGGGTATTCTCTGTAGCAGGTTGCTCGTTTCAACAAGTGCAGAATAATCGTAATTTCACACCAGCATTTGAATCTTTTTGTTTTACTAAGAGTAGAATGCCATTTTTTGTTGCTATCAAAGCATTACATGCAAACAAACTAAAAGTTGTACTGCCTAGGAAACAATGACCAGTGATTTAATCCAATTAAGGTGCCTGAATTTCTAGTTGATTGTTCTTGAAAATCCTGCTCTTTACTTTAGCTATTGAACCTTTTTAGAAGTAAAATTGTTTTTATTAAAATGTACAAAGTTTGGGACCAGGTACACTGAAGAATAGTTTTTCCTAGAGTTCCAGTGCAATGTGCTTTTCTTCCTTTTCCTGTCATACATATTATTTTCATATTTCTATATCTTGAATAAAAATTTAAACAATTTTCACTTTTGCAGTTTCTATTTCCAAATTGACATGATACAAGATTAAGAAAGTGACGTTAGTACTCTTACCTTTTGAAATCTAAAACTTATGTATAGGGTTAAATATATTAAATGTACTCTTCTCTTTCTATCCTTTTCCTTTTCCCACAATCTCCTACCGTTTGGGGGCATAGGTGACCAAGACCAAGCCTAGATCTTTCCTACCATGGGCCTCAGCCCTGGGCTCCACTAATTGTTCAGGGTCTTCCCTGTTCCTTTTCCTTTTCTACTACCCACTTCCTAAGATATGGGAGCCATATTGAAAGGCAGACTTGGTACCAGTCACGAACGTCCTAGGGGAGCCATGGGCACGATATTCCCGTTTGGTTTTCTAGCGCCTATCTCCTAAATATATACTCGATAGAAATATTGAGGGTTGTCCTTTTAACAAATAACCCCACATTTAAATTTTCCCAATGCCCCTTTCTTTGACCACAACTCTGAACACTACTACTCAACACCGCCTATCACTTCAGTCAGGGCCAAACCTTCCACCCAAGTCATTTACTCAACCTCAAAAAAAAAAAATCATCCTCTTTCAACATCCTCTACTTCATGTACTCCATCCCCAAAACTTTCTTCATCTGCTCCCCCCTTCTGTTATTACTACTATGCAGTCTTAACTTTTCAACACAACTCTCTAAAGCTGAATACTGTTTAACCCAGCCAAATGGGATCGATTTTTCGTGATCCCCTCTACATCCCCATACCCCTTCCTCTTCAAGTCAGGTTGCCTCCTGTAACTGCCTCGATCGTACCCGTTTTCTCAATTACATCCGAGTCCCAGTGACCCCTCCAATTCCTTGCTCGGTGTTGTCGTGAGTGGGGGTGGGGCTTAGGAGACGGACACTGGGTCCCAATGTAGGGGATCAGCCATGCCTTGGCCCTCAGTCCTCGCCTCAACATTTTTTTTCAACTTTTTCTCCCTTTTTTCCTTTTCATCCCCTTCTGCCCACCTATCCTAGTCGTTAACTCATTTTTGTTCTTGTTTTGTTCCACAATACTTTATCATGATGTTATACATGGGGGGGGGGGGCTTCACCCCCCAAGCCCCACCCTATCGCTGTATTTTGAATACGCCACTAACGCGTCAGACAATTTTTAAAAAATCAGTTAATTTTGCATGGTACTTTTCTCCCCTTTTTCTTTTCATGCTCTTCTTCATCCCCTTATTCTGCAGACATTCTAAGGCGAGAGCCGTGCTGAAAGGGTGACAATTTCTTTTCCTTATTTATTTCAGGGTCACCATAACCAGTTAAGATTCTTTATTCTCATTAGGAGCATTCATCACTGGTCCATCTAAACTTGATTTCTCTGGTTTCCTGACTCCTGCTTCTCCTTTGACCACGGCTCAGGTCCCTAATACTAACACCCCCTCTCCGTCAATCTCTTGCTTGTTGTTATCGAGGGTATCGAGGGTGGGTCTTAGGAGATGGAGACAGGCCCAGTGTAGGGGATCACCCCTAACTTGGCCCTCAGCCCTCGCCCTAACTAATTTTGCATGGTCTTTTCTTCTCTCCTTTTCCTTTCCTTCACCCCCCTGTTCTGTCCACTAATCCTGATCGTTACACCCATTTTGCCGTTTTCATCAAAATACTTCATCAAAATAACTCCTTCCCCTTCTAACAACCCATAACTTCTACTATACCCCATCAGTTCCCCTTCTCTGCCCTTTTCACTACCATACTACCCTCTAGTACTGTTCAACCTGTAACGTTACCCTAAGCATTAACTCATTCCTAACTTTTTTTGCCATTCTACTTTACCATAGCGCCATATGACCTTTGATTTCATATAGCACTTCCTTACCTAGGGACTTTGGTCCCAAGCCTCATGCTATCACTATATTTTGAATACGTCACTAATGACCACTCTTGTCTCTTACTGCAGTCTTCTTCGTTGTCTACCCCTCCCCCTTATTACTTCTATTCATCCCCATTGTCTTCCATACAGTGCTACCTCACTCCACACACCCCCATCTTCCTCCCGCCCTCGTCCTTCTACTGCTACCCTCTCTGCAAACCTTTTGAGAACTCATTTGGGCCCAGTCAAGTGACATCGATTCTTTGTGATTCCACCTACAGCTCCTTACTCTGACAATACCCTTTTGTCTCAACAATCTTCAAAAATAAGTAGGCAAAATTTCCATTCACGCATTGTCAGTGACATCGGAGTCTCAAGGTCGAGAACTACCCTGACCTCACTGGCAAGGTTTCTGGGTGTGCTGTGATTGGCTATACATTAAAGACAAGCAAGTTAAACAATATATTTTATATATCTGTATATGATATTAAATAAACAATTGTCCTGTCATTTCTGGTATCTATCATCTACCGCCTCTGACGTCACACCGAACTGACTCCACCATTACTACTTCATTGTGACGTCATGGGGTACTGGAAAAGCAGATATTACTGGATTGATAGCCCTGACCCCATCTGATTGTCCTATCTACGACAAGGACTGGTCAGACTGTGAAAACGACCTGCTCACCTGCCTCATTGACTATGATGTAGTGACAGTACAGAGGTCAGCAGAAGTCCTACATAAGTATTGCCTAAATCAGCTTCTGCAGACATGACTTCCCCATGAAGTTCAAATTGGTGTAGTGTCCTGACCTGTTCGACCATATCGTCCCCTTCTCAGTCAGTGTCAGATATGTTGGCATTTTGGCCACCTATTCAAACACTGTTACTCCACAACCCGTTGCCCTCCATGGGCCTAACCTGGTCATGCCCATTAGAATTGCCCTACTCAATCACGCACGTGGTATCTCCCATAATGTATTTTCTAGGAACTGTTCTGCTCGAATCTGAGGTAGCAGTTCTCAGATTCACACTACGAGAGGCCAGGCAGGAAGCACGCCGACGAGTTCTTTTCTGTGTCTACCCCATTATCTCTTTCCTCTACCCCGAACCATGCTACCTCTACTCCCTCTCTCCCCCAGTCAAATTCCTTCTCCAGTCTAAATCCAGATACTCCAATCTCTACCACTTCCCCAAAGCCCACCCTTCCTCCTCCTCCACTTTACCTGTCGCACCAGGTACCTACTTTACCTACTAGCTTGCCTTGTGGACTATGATGCAGTATCAGTAAAATGAAACGCTATTCCCCTTAGAGGCCAATGTAAGTCTCCACCAATATCGTCAAGATTACTTTCGGTAGACTTGACCTCCTCCCTCATGTTTATATTGGCAGAGTATCTCCCTGTCCGACTATATTGACCTCCCCCCGTCAATGTCAGAAATGCTGGCATCTAGGCCACCTGCCAAACATTGCCGGCCCACAGCAATGTGCCAACCTGCTCATGATCAATCAAACTGCCCCGCACAATCATACACATGTGCCAGTTGTGGTGGCTCCCGTAATATATTTTATAAGGACTGCCCTGCCTACAAGTTTGAGGTGGTAAATTTCAGATTCAAACTTAATCTCACTTTACATGAGAGCTTGTAGACTAGTTTTTCTTTTCCTTTCTACTCCAATACTCTCCTTTGGTTTGCCCCCCCCCTTCCTCCTAAGATTTTTCTAAATCTCCCCCAGTATCCTCATCCCATCCAATTTTTTTTTTGCCATTCTTAATCCAGACACCCCAATCTCCTCGACTATTCCAGACACTCCAGCCCTTACTTCTCTGGTACCTACCCCTCTTCCTCCTCGCTCAACTCGTAGAGACAAGCTAAATGTTCCACCCCATCTACCACATCCTCTCCTACATCACTCTTTCCCTCCACCCGTGAAACGTCTGTCCCCTCTTCTCACCCTTATAAGGTGAGACTTCCCCCAACCAACTCCACTTCAGAAATTCTCGAAGACATTCACAACTATCTAAATATGACCCAAGATAATATGCCTACGCTGCATCCATCCTACAATCTCTCCCTTCTCCCATTCACTCTCCACTCAAGGTAACTGCCGATATCCGTCCATCCATTCCCCCCGATTCAGCTGCATCACCCCTCTTCCTTCTCCATGGATACACACATGACTCTGTCACAACACCCTTCCCTGGACTCTCTCCCTCCTGACTTTTCTCCTGAAACCGTGATCTAACAACCTTGAAACCCCCCAAAGGTTGTTAAAAGGGGAAGGAGTTAAGGTCAAATGGGGGATATTTATGCATAAGCAGGAGAATAAGTTGTGTAAAGAAAAGATAAGGAATTCTGAGGGAATGTCCAATAGGTTGGGGGTCGGGGAAGTGAGAAGTGAGGAAAAGGAGAGATATGGTGAGGGTAGTAGTCAGAAGGCTGGTATATGTGAAAATCTGGGTTGATGGGATGTGGACAAGGTGGCGGAGTGTGCTAGCGTATCTGCCTGTCCCCCAATGTGGCTGGTTATCCAACAAAAACCCTATTTTGTGTTATTTGTTTAAATGGGATTGTTGGTCCTGAATTTTGCGGACATGAGGGTTGATTGCCAGTAGAGATTGTATGAGATAATGAGTCGGTGAAAATTGTGAACGATGAGAAATGGATGGAGGACACGCATTCTAATACGGATGGGACTGCACACAATTCCTTTACAAGGACACTGGATTCAGGTGGAAGTGGAAAGTTTGTATAAGAGATAATGAGTTTTTGGAGTCGGTGGAAATTGTGAAGGACGAGAACTGGATGGAAGATATGCGTTCTAATATGAAGAGGATCGTACACATTTCAGTTGTAAGGACACTGGATTCAGGTGGAAGTGGAAAGATGAAGGTATAGGAAGGAAAGATAGGAGAGAAATTTGGAGCCACCTGTATAAATGTGTGCTGGAGGAGTGGGTTGAGGTATGGTTGAGAAAATGAGTGAGAAGGATAGAAAGGGGTGTCTGATTTTGGTGTTTCTTCAGATGGAAGATGTCGTAGCATACGGTAATGAATGCCCGTTAGGGCCTTCATGTGTGTTGCATCACGACTGTAAAGCAGAAAGGAGTTCAGTAGCGGAGAAGGGGGCATCGTAGTGTTCTGTAGAGGATAAGGAAAAGGAGATGGGAGTGTGTTCCTCGATTGTTTTAATGGAATGGAATTGGGAAAAAGGTGAGAGCCACTACAGACTTAGGCGAGATATTCAACAAGTTCAGTAGCAACTTGAAATGAGTGTTGCGGATGTGGAGGACTAAGGCAGGACGAGGGGGATGCTTCCCCGAGAATTTATGAATTCTACGCCATACTGTAGAAATAAGTGTAGAGGAGGCTATTGTGGAGATGTAATTTTGCCAGCTGGTTTTAATTGAGATTTGGATTGTGCGACGTAGTTGAGCTGATGCTCTTCTAAAACTGATATCAGCTGATGTTTGGTTGGAAGTATTTCGCTTGTAGCGATAACTACTACATGCCGCACTCTTCAATCGAAGTGCTTTGGAGCATTCAGTGTTTCACCATGGAACACCTTTAGATGTGTATGGTCGGGAAGTTCAGGGAATGGCTGTGAAGGCAGCACTCAGGATACTGATAGTGAAATAGGAAAGCATGTCTGATGTGTAAGAGAAGGAAGGTGGAGGAAAAGGGAGAGCAGAGGAGGGTTAGAGAGCAGGGCATAGGAAGTAGGAGAGAGAATAGGGAAGTGATCACTATAGGGGAGGTGGTCCAGAACTGACCAGTGAGAATCGAGATGAAGGGAAGGGGAGGAAAGAGAAAAGCCAAGGCATGTAAAGGTTTGAGCGCGCATGTCGAAATGGGTGGGGTGATGTGAGTTGAGAAGTTAAGGTCAGTGTTATAAAGATAGCGTTCTAAGGAACGGTTTCGGGAAGTAGTGGTAGAGTTACCCCAAAGAGTGTGGTGACAGTTGAAATTACCGACCATAGAGAATGATGGTTGAAGTTGATAAGATAAAGTTTCGAAGACATGAAAGTCAATGGGAAGAGAGAGACAAGTAAACGGAAACAATTGTTATCCAACGGTGAAGAAATATGCGTATAATGGTGCAAGGGACAGGGGTTTGAAAGGAAGTTATAGTGCATGGTGATTTTTGATGGACGAATGTAGAGAGTGAGGGGATGATATGGAATGATAATTTGGAATAGGTACTGGAGAATGTGTTATGAAGGTTTCTTGGAGACAGATAATGAAGATATCAGGTGACGAAGATTAGGTCTGTGAGAACGAAAACCTCGCAAGTCTCACTGTAGAAGAGTCATTGTGGATCAATCAACGAGTGATAAAGGGTAGAGATGGATGTCTGAGGAGGAGGAGTACCTGGGGATTGACTCACAGTGGGCATGGCATGTACGTACATGCCAACCCCATCGGCAAGGGGTTAATTAGCCAAGCCAAACGGGGTCGATTTTTGTGATCTCCTCTACAGCCCCTTACTCTGACAACACGCTCCTCTTCCAGCAATGCCTTCAAAAATAAGTAGGCATTTTCCTTCCACATCCACCCCGATCATTCCTACCTTGTCAGTTACATCCAAATCCTAAGCTAAAACATCATCTACTCTGACTTCACTGGCAAACCCTTCCATACTCAGGCTCATCCCTCCTTCAATACTTGTACCGGAACTATCTCAATCTCCCTAACAGACGGCCCTGTCTATGGCAAGGATTAGTCAAGACTTATTCGCCTGCCTCATTGACTATAATGCAGTAATGGAGGCCGCCGTAAATCCTCCACCAATATTTTCAAGATTATTTTCTACAGATATGACCTCCCCCTTCATGTTTATATTGGTGGAGTTCATCCCTGTCCAACCATATCAACCTTTGGTGTCTAAGCCACCCTGCCTGAATACTACCGCTCTTAACCTGCTTATGATCAATCAAACTGGTCTGCACATGTGCCAATGGTGATGATATCCATAATGTATTTTAAAGGGCTTGCCTGCCTACAAGTTTGAGTCTGAGGTTGCAATTCAAAACTTGGCACGCAGATGAAGTATTTCTTACTCCCTACTCCAATGTTGTCTTTTGCTCTGCCCCTTCCTCTCCCTCCCAAGATGTTTTTTACAATCCACAATATATTTTCCCCAACCCAATTCTACCCCCCGCCCTTTCGCCCTCTCTCTCTCAGTCAAATTCTTTTGCTATTCTAAACCAAGCATTCCAATCTCTACTTCCCCGGTACCTACTCCACCTCGTCACTCAACTCCTCACATAAGACAAACTAATTGTTCTACCCCATCTTCTACCACACCCTCTTCTCATTCTCATAAGAAAACTTTTGTTTCTCAGACCTCCCCAGCCAACTCTTCAGAAACTCTCGAAGACATTCAAACCTATCAAATCATGACCATCATCAATCCTCAATCTCTTTGCTCCCATTCCCTCTACACTCAAAGTAACTGCAAACATCCACAACAACCTCCTTCCCTGGATTCTCTCCCTCCTAACATTTCTCCTGAAACTGTGGTCTTATTACACTTAAATCTCCCTTTGTCCTTTTGCTAATCTCACTGCATGGACTTGCAAAATCTCACATTTCTTCCTTTGACAACTTTGATCTGATCATTCACGTTAATCCCTACCATAGCCCATTTACTCATGCTCTCTACCCTCACCCCTCTTTAACCCTTTCAATTCCTACACTATTGGCACGTAGCAGATTTAATCTTTATCCTTTTCACTATCACACCTTTCTATAGTGCTATATGACCTTTGACGCCTAGTGCATTCATTTTGCTCTGTAACCATTAACCATCTAAGTCCCAAGCAAGTTTACTATCTACCTTGGTTGACCTCACTGGCAAACTTGTTCCTGCCTAACCTCACTTTTCCCCTTAATACTTACTTGTACCGAAACAAAATAAATGAGCGACATCAAAGGTCATATAAAACAATAAAAATGTGTAGTAGTGAAAAGGGTAAAGGAGTTAGCTGATGATTAAATGTGCTACACATCACATCAGGATTGTGTGACATTGATAGGGTACAGAGGGATGAGAGCAGAGAGGATGAGTAAATCGCCTAAGGCAGGGATTAACATAGGTGATTAGATAAAAGTTGTCAAAGGAAGAAGGGTGGGATTCTGCAAGTATGTCTGTAGGGTACAGTAGGCACTAACAAATGGAGAATGGGGGGGAGGGGGTTAATTGCAATTAGATCATTTTCAGGAGAAAAGTCTGGAGAAAGAGAACCCAGGGAGGGAGGGTGTTGTGATAGTCACATATTTATATCCAGGGGGAAGTGGAAGGGATAATGGGGAAGGAAGGGAGGAATGAGATGTGTTGAAAGGGGTGGGAGGAAAGGGTGTGGGGATAACATGAGCAATTACTTTGAAGTAGAGGAAATGTGAGCTGAGAGATTGGAGGATAGATGTAGTGTAGGCATATCTTGGGTCATGATTAGATATTTTAGATTGTCTTCCAGAGTTTCTGCAGTGGAGTTGGTTGGGGAAGTCTGAGAAACAAAAGTTTTCTTATGAGGCGGGGAAGAGAGGACAGACGTTTGGGGGGTGGAGGGAGAGGTTGATGTAGGAGGGGATGTGGTAGAAGATGGGGTGGAATGTTTAGTTTGTCTTGTGCAATGAGTCGGGCAAGGAGTAAGAGAGAATGTCTGGATTTAGAATAGCAAAAGAATTTGACTGGGATGAAGACATTATTAGAGTAAGGAGTAAGAGAAAAATCTTGTCAAAGTGCTTCCTGTCTGGCTTCGCATAGAGTGAGGCCAAGTTTAAATCTGAGAATTGCCTCTTCAGACTCAAACTTGTAGGTAGGGCATGCTCTATAAAGTACATGGGAGGTGCAACAATTGGCACACATGCATAACTATGCAAAGCAGTTTGATCAATTACATCCAGGCTGGGCACATAGAGGGCATTGGGCTGTGGAACAGCAGTGTTTTGCAGGAAGGCCTAGATGCCAACAATTCCGACATTGACAAGGGAGAGGTTAATATGGTTGGGGAATTGTGTAGAGGTGGACAATAAAGTTGCATGGTAGTAATAAGGGAGAATGGGGTAGATGGTGAAGAAAGTTGGGGTGGAGATGAAGCAGAGGATATTGGGAGTGGAGGAATGTTTCCTGGAGATTTAGTATCGACCTAGATGAATAACTTGGACTGGACTGAGGTGATAGTAGGCAATGAGCAGGGGTATACCATGTATTGAGCAGAGCGGTGTGACATTCATTAATTACTAGGCCAGGGCAGCTGCCAGGCCAGGGTAGCTGCGATGCCCTGTCCTCACTCCGGCGAAAACAGGATGCCCAGCTGGAGGGGGCAGGCCTGCGAATTTTCCTCTGGACCTCCAGATAATATAGTGGTTTTCTGTACATTGAATTAGAGACCATTATAAGGGGGTAATAATAGCAGTGTTCAGAATCATGGTCAAAGGAGAGCCTGGTGGTTCTGGGAAACAGGAGAATTAAGATCAGTGGGGTTATTTGATAATTTTGTATGTTGGGGAGAAATTGTCTATCCCTCAGGTTCCCCTTGATGGGTAAGGGCTAGACAGCTAGACAGGGAATACCATGCTCATGGCTCCCCCGGGCCGTGGATAGTAGAAGGGGTTAGAGAAGAGAAGGAAATAAATAGGGGAAACAGAAATGACTGTGCAAAACTAGTTGAGCCAAAGCCTGAGGCCCAAGACAGGGGTGATCCCCAATTTAGTGTCCCAATCTCTATCTCCTAAGACCCCATGGCATGAGATTTGGGGGGATGAAAATTAGTAATAAGGGAGGAGGGGGTAGACAATGTAGAAGACTGTGCAGGAGGAGATAAGAGTGGAGGACGTTGGGAGAGAGGAAGGAGCATATATGAAGGCTGAGTAATGAACTTGGTGAATGATTCTGTATGGATAGAGTTGAAAAGAAGAATATTGAGAAGAGGGTATCAGTATCTGTAGTTGGAGAGGCAGGGGTCAGGGAACCAAAAGTCAAATTTAGATAGGCTAATTAAGGAAAGGGCAAACATTAATGCCCTTAATAAGGATACAAAATCAAATTTTTTTGGCCAAGGCAAGTCTGAAAATAAATGCTATAACAAATAAGGTTTTAAATAATACCACTAAATTGGTACACTTACATTTATTCATTATACACAAATATATAGGAAAATACATAAAATAATGTCTTATGCAGAGGACATAAAATAAGTTTGGACATATTTTGTGACCAAAGCTGTTAAAACTGTACATTAATCACTGCCAGACAAGACTCAAGAAGAGCACAGTGTGCTACCACGCTGAAGTACAAAGAGCAAAGGAACAAGAAAAATTTGTAAAAAAGCTCTGAGGTTTTATTGTCAGATTGCTTCTGGTTTCTTTACTAATTTCTTGTTTGACTTTGTTTTTCTCATTTTACAAACTATAATCAGACAACAATTATTTGAGTAAGGTGAGCATGATTTAAAGTACAGCACTGAGTCATCACAGAAGTGCAAAAGAGACAGAATTTATATAAATGCATTTACAGTTGCCAATTTATGCATATGCTGCACTCTACAAGTAGCATCTAAATAAATAGAAAACTTCAGCTTTCTGTAAGAGTATCTTATGTTGCAGTAATGACTGAGTCAAGATCATGCTCTACCACACACTGCTTTACCTCACTGCTGTAAGATGCTGGGACACAGGAGTAAGGATAACAGGCCATTGTCTTGAGAAAACTTGACTGAACCTTTTGTCTAACCTGTTGTCAATTTGGATGGATTCAAGCAAGAGAACACATGCACAGTGAAGAATCACTGAGGAGGAATGTCAGTGACAAGAATACTTGTGATATTAACCATGTTGTACAGTACATGGCAGCAGTGGGAAAGATGCTTTCATCTTTCCCAAGCTCAACTGACAAACAATGATTTCATCTACATAACACTGATGCTATAACACTGCCCCATATATGTGGCAGGATCTCAGTAACACTGCTTCATGTATAGCAGGTTCTCATTTCATACAAATACTGTACACAAACATTATGTTTATAAACAAAGATGCAGTATAGTAACTTTGGCAAAACTAGGGTTACCTATTAAATGCTGAACATGAGTAACAATGATTTCTTTCAGTAATTATGCCTTCTCATTACAAGATTATATATATTTTTTACATTTTCACATGTAATATAACATACCAAAATTATAGTTGAAATGCAGGGATCTATAGTTATATCTACATAATAGTCATCATGTTTTTTTTCCACAAAAGTATTCCTAATGCCATAAAGTCTGAATGCTTCTCATGAAAATATTGTGTAAAGAAAATCTTACTAGACATATGCTAATGACTTGTCTTAACTACCATTTCTACTTACAAAAGACCTCACTTTCATAGCACTTTCACAGTAGTTTGACATAGCACTGGCTGGAAAGAGGACTGAAATCTCTATTTTTACAGCAGAGATCATATAAATTATGTCATGGATATTTCAAAGTATCCAATTTGCATGAAACCTAATAGGACCACTTCTGTCAGCTGACATTCTCAAGCTTGCTTCTGTATACACCAACTTTATACTGACAATAATTGTACCATCCTATCTGAATTTTGAGTAATTTGATTTCCCACAGCATACCATAACAATCATGCTGTCTTTTTGTGATACCCATAGTCCATAAAGTTTATATATATATATAAAAAAATGTTAGTATTATCAATACACAATGTATCGAACATATAACTAACATTCGCTTGTGCTGCTACATACCATAGAATCATGTATCTTTAGTCTCTCTACTTCTATATAAAAGAAGACCTATCAGGTGAAACCACATTCTATATAGAGCCAATAACTTTTCTTAAAACATGAAAAAATAATTATTCAACTTAGAGTTAAACTGAAATTCTCATAAACAAAAATTGAGGAATTATGTTTGATAACATGATTTGTGCCTTACTTTGTGCACAGATCCACTTCATAAAGATAACATTCTGTAAGCAAGCCACATTGTCACCCTAGTCAAAAAGGATTATTACACTTAAATATACTTTGGTAAACCTACTCTGTTGATTTTACAAAGCATTACAAGGAATACTGCATTAACAACACCTAATATGTGTAACACAAGTTCAGACTTTTTACAGTAATGCCCCATACTTCATCATAATGTAATGGAACTTGTCATTTTCAAATCCATATTATCCAAAGAACTTATCAAATTCACATCATTCATCAACTTGATATTAAAAGATTGAATAAATAATATGATAAAACATTTATAAAATACATACAATCACAAATACCCTTCAAAAAATCAAGTGCTTGACTGAAAACTTGCAATTCAAGCTTCATTCATATATATCTAAGTATCTCATATGCACATTCAAACCTTAATGTATTCTATGCAACAACACAGTATTTTCTAACACTTACTGAAGAAAACTGAAAATGGCCAGTATATTTTACGAAATGAAAAATACCCTCAAACAAAAGTTCTTCCATACTTGCACTCGTACAATTGTCCAGACATGCATAAAATGTTCACCTTGCCTTTTTTTGTATCTAACATGAAATTAACCAAAGAATCATAAAAGCAAACATCTTACAATAGATCTCATATACATTCCAATGTCATAATGACTTGCCTGACCTATTTCACACAATTCAATCAACAAAACCAAGACAATCCACGTTCATTTGTACTGCATTCTTTCAACACAGGTACCCATTTCACAATCTAGCGAAGGAATGCTTTCAAGTTAGTGTATGACACTGTAATGCCACAAAACAGTCATAACTAGAGACAGGTTCTACAAGTGCTGAGGTAGCTTGTCCTCTAGAGTTAGTGCATACTAAATGGCTACTCATTTCTTACAAGTGGATGTTGGTACCTTTGCTCTGCATCCTAAAATCAAAAACTGAAATAATTTTTTCTTACAAGATATTTAACAGACCAAAATTTTATAATCATCATAAAGAAGAGTAATGTATCATTTACAGAAAGCATATACAAATAATTTTGGAAACAATTACATTGCAAACATTACTGAAAAAAATGTCATTATACAAATAGTTACAATAATAAAGGCAATGGCAATGCTATGAGGATGATGATGCTAAAAGAAATCAATATGATAAGGATGAATAGCAATAGTAATAGTAACAGTAATGATAATTAAAATAATAATAATAATAATAATAATAATAATAATAATAATAATAATAATACAAATAATAATAATAATGAAATCAGTAATAATAATAATATAGTTATTATTAACATTATCAACAATATTTATAATAAAAATATTATCATCATCAACAATATTGATAATAATATTACTATCACTTCTATCATTATTACTATCACAAATGATACTGATAAAATAGATAATAACAAATACTAATAAACCACAATAATAATAATATTGGTGGTGATGGTGATAATCGTATAAAAAAATAATAATGATAAAAAATGCAATAACATTTAAAAGTAACAGCATTAAAAAAAAAAGACTAAACTCACACATATCATGAACTAACTCTGGGAAAAAAAAATAATAATAACAATAAATAAATAAAAAATAATCACATTGTACAATAACACTAGAACCTATGGAGCAGTAGGCCTATCAGCATCACTGCAGCCGCTCTCAGTCGTCTCCGTTGCAAAGTGTGAATGGAAAATCACAAATCAAAAGGCTCTTCCCATCCAAGCTTTGATTGTGCTCTTTATCTTTTCTTTTTTTTTCTTTTTTTCTTTTTTCAAGCCACTAAAATCTAGGACAAACATTCATCTAATTCATATATTGTCCTAATGCAGTGTTGCAAGGATACATATCTGGTGGTTACAATAACAAGTACTCATAAGAAATATATAGCTAGTTTGTTACATAATCATTATAATAACGAGTTTTCACAATTTTACTCTATATCATCAATATTAATACAATGACGATAACAACATAGACAATAATAATCAAAACCAACTTGCCAATTATAATGATACAATTACAGTGATGATAAATAATAATCAAATTATCATGATAAAAATAAAAATAAGAAGAGGAATAACATTTTAGCTGTACAGTATAATAATATTAATAATAATAATAATAATAATAGTAATATACTGATAATACTAATGAAGAAGGTTGGGACTGATCAAATGGATATGAATATGGTGAATATAAATGATGAAGCTTACAATCATAATCAAATAAAAATAATAACAGAAATAATAATAATAATAATAATAATAATAATAATAACAAAATTAAAACATAATAACAACAACAATGAAAGCAACAATAATAAAATTACGAACATAATTAAGATACTGATATTGATAATTAATAATAACAATAATAACAAATAATAATAGTAATAGTTATAATAATAACACAAATACTAAGAATATCAAAGATAACAAGGACATAAAATATTAATTGCTTCAGTCACAATAAGGATAATCTGTAATTTCAATAAAGAAAAGAAGCACAAAAATCATGGTACTGAGCAAAAGCATACACATGAAGCTCAAATATAAAATATATTGTAAATACATTCACAATTTCTTATAAGACATGTATGTATAAATCATATATAGAGAGAAAGATAAAGTGAATAAGAAGAAAAGTCCAGGAGAGAGGGAGAAAGAAAGATGGTAAAGGAATGAGGGAGAAAGAAAGATGGTAAAGGAATGAGGGAGAAAGAGAGATGGTGAATTGAATGAATGAGGGCGAAAGAGAGAGAGTGAATGAATGCAGGAGGAAGAGAGAAAGGGCGAATACAAATAACCTTGTTCTTTAAGAATTCTATAGTTGTAGTTGTGCGCTTATTTTGCTGATGTGTCTGCACTTGTAAGCTTGCATAATAATAATAATAATAATAACAATAATAATAATAATAACAATAATAATAATAAT